CACGAAGCAATATGCAATCTATCAAGGTAGATTACAGTGCCGGAACAGCAGTCTTACGGGTGACACGAACTTAAATAACAACATTATCTCTAATAATGACAGATTTAGGTGGATATTCATGTTGTGCTACATAGTTACAATACCTGCACAAGAATGTTTGTGAAAACAATTTTTATTTGTTTCAATCTGAATCTATGACTACGTTATCTTATCTACAAGGAAAATTAAAGACTAATAACATGTAAGAGGGTTTTGATTATCAATTTTTATCATCAATTCATTGCTCAATTTACATCCGCTAGGTGGCGTAAAATGAAATTGTTATTTTCTATCATTCTATCCCCCTCAATTTTCCCATTTTACTTGGGAAATCGCTTGGAGGGACATAAAATGTCCTTCGCAAGATATCTACAAGTCCGTTCTGGTAGATTTATGTAGGTTTTCCACTCCGTTCCGGCAAATTAGGGTCCGTTCCGGTAATTAAAGAAAATTAATTTTACCACTGTCCCCCCCAAGTTTGCCGATTTATTATAAAAATTGCAAGGAAGTATATGAAATGACATTTGCAAGACATCTAAAGGTCCGTTCCGGTAGGTTTATGTTGGTTTTCCACTCCGTTCCGGCAAATTAGGGTCCGTTCCGGTAATTAAAGAAAATTAAATTTACCACTGTACCCCCCCCCCCCAAGTTTGCCGATTTAATATAAAAATTGCATGGAAGTATATGAAATGACATTTGCAAGACATCTAAGGGTCCGTTCCGGTAGGTTTATGTATGTTTTCCACCCCGTTCCGGTCCGTTCCGGTAATTTAGGGTCCGTTCCGGTAATTAAAGGAACCCCACATTGACTAGTATATAATAAAATTGTAAATAACTTGAGGGGTGGAAATAGAATTGTGTTTCTTCGTGATGGTAATTTAGAAGGAGCCTGTTCTAATATACATAGCAAGATATTGTCCAATAAAGTCAAAACTTTCAGTTTTAAATTAACGTGGGATATTCTTTTTATTAAAGTGAAACCTAGAATTAAACATATTTCTGGGAATGACTTACGGTATGTGTATTTTGTTCACAAGAACCTGATTTATTTTGGAAATGCCTTTTTTCACAAAATGTTTATGATTATGTTTTTTTTATTGCTTTGAAAATCAATCATTGTGAGTTGAGAAACAACTATATCCTGATATCACTTGTATACTATTGTACTATTAGATTTAAATCATCAATGTTATTCACATTTGTCCAGCCTTGAACGCAATGCTATAATATTACTATTTTGCACTGCTAAACACAAAATATGGTTAGAAAGGAATGCTGTAATTTTTCAGAATGCTAACCCAAATGCAGAAATGTGAACAATGTAATCATGAAAATTAAGAGGTCACTCATAGCACTGTAGCAAAAAGAAATATAGAAAAGTTCAGGCAACATCCTAGTTTTACAAGAGAACTCGGTATAATTTATAATACCTTATGAATTTTTAACACTGTGATAGTATTGAAACTAATAGATATGTAAATTTTTTCTTGATAATTAATGTTAATAAAAAAATAATGCACTGTCAATCATTGTGGGAACTACATGGATACATAAATTGGATATAATGGACAATACAATCAGTGGACTGTAATGAAATAATTCTGCTGGCTACTGTTAATGTATTTTTTCTGTTAATTTTGGATGGTTAGTTATTGTTGTTTATTTTTTATTTTATATATTCTTTGATTATTGAATAATATCCACATTGTGAAACCATAAAAAAAAAAAAAAAAAAATCATTCAGACATTAATGCTGTAATGTAGTAGTCTATGGCATTGCTGTAACTGTCAATCATATCCCAGGCTGCCAGGAATATCATTACTTTGGAAAGGTTCGTCATCAGATTGCTGGATTACGGTATACTCGCACAAGGTTGTAAGTTAAGACTCTCTTGTCTCGAAATAAATCTGTTCTTATTTCTATATTTCAGTATTTGATACATTACAGTATTTCAACTGCTTACTGGCTTATCACTGAAATAATGATATGGATGAAGGCAAACTTTCTCGCAACTACTCTGAGAAATTATCACTCTTTGTTGATGTGAAGAGATGTGCGGAGAGAATCTTGAGCTACCCCTCGCCTTCACTATGCAGTATATATGGAGGAATTAATACTTTTGTGAAATTTTTGGAAAAGGTGTTTCAACATTGTTTACGGAAAACGAAAAGCGAAGATGAGAAAACTTACATGGCCTTTTTGTCTTGTTTGTCATGGCTTAAGCCAGTTTTAGCTTCAGATCTCAAAGCTATCTTGAAGATTTATCAGACCAAGCTTTCTAAAGAAATTGTGTATGACAATTGTCAAAATTTGGGTGTAAAATTTCTTACAAGATGTCTGCTAACAGGAATTTTAAGTGATTGTATGGTGCTGCTACTCAAAGATGGGAATCTTGTTAATCAGTACTATGACTCTGGTGCATTTTTTAATGATACTCTATGCCGAAATGGATTATTATCCTGTGTGAAAGCTGTTGAAGATAGATCTTCTAAAATTTTAGCAGATATTTCCCTAGATTTAATAGACTCGGGTGTGATGCAATATTGTATTGCTAAATTTGATAGAATACACAAATTGGATCACACAGAAGTTAAGCAAACAGCTTCTGCTAGTATCGTCCAAAATACGAAGGATTTTTTAGATCCATTACATCATGAAAACAAAGTATCAAATTCAAGTCAGTCAAGTGCTTATGCAGAGGAAACTGATCATGTAGATGGTAAATCATCATTTGAAGCTGATAATAAAGTTAGGCAAAAAAAGGATTTACCTGATGTTGTAGCCTGTGCTGAAAGGTCTGAAAACAAGAAAAAGAATGCAAAAATTAACGATTATGATAGAACAGAATTTGTAAAAATACCCGAATTTGGAAAATATGCAAGAAACCAGGGAGTTTTAAAAGTACCCTCAACAAAGTCGAAAACAACATCAGATCCACAATGTCCATCTTCATCAAATCAGTCCAAACACAAGCGGTCTGCGTCTGAAATAACATTGAATGAGGCAAAGAAAATTGACCAGCCTATAAATGCAGATGTCTGGTCTGTACCACCTGATGCAACTTCGTTGATGCATTATATACACAGTGAAGACCTTTCTACATGTGAAGACTTGAAAAAGGAAAATGCACATTTTCATCTTTCGGAAATGTTAATGACTGTTATGGAAGAGCAAAAATGTAGTTCTGGAGAAGGCTTTCGCAGTTTGCGAAAAAGCATGAGCATGCAGATACCAAAGAGCAGACAATCAAGGCTATGTGATAAACTTAAGAACTCATTAGACCCGGTTGCCTCCATTGGACATTCTTCTCCTGTAGTTTCCCCAGAGTTTTCCGAAACTTATGCTGTGAGTGAAACTGATGAATGTGTTCTTATTGCTGATAAGCCTGCAAATATGGAAATAAAAGATGGTTTACCGTCATCTGAGCTGGGCAGTAGCTTGGAAAGCCAGTTATTTTCACCCACTGAAAATAGTTCGGCGGAATCCATTGCAATAGGTTTATTGCAAGCTTTCACAGCAGATTCCAACAACTCAGATGACATGCAATGGCTTGTCTCTGAATCTGATGTTCCCCAGAAACTTCTACCCCTTCCTGATTCCACAATGATCGATCCAGAAATCAAAGAAGGATCAAAACGACCACAAGAAATTAGTTTGATGCCAAAAAATCGAATACGTGGCAGTGAAAAATGGGCTCCACCTAGATTTCAACTTATTTTCAATGTGCATAGGAATAGGGACAGATCACAAGGTATAGCAAATCAGAAATACATGTGTGCAGGATGTGGAACAAATGTTGAAAAAGCTTTCATAAGAAGATTCCGATATTGCGAATATACTGGTAAATATTTTTGTTCTTGTTGCCATGATGATACGCTTCATGTCATTCCAGCTCATGTTTTCAACAATTTCAACTTCAAGAAATATAAGGTTTCAAATTTTGCTGATGACCTTCTGCGAAAAATTCATTGTGAACCGCTTTTTAATATAAATGACTTGAATCAAACGCTCCACTCAAAATCCAAAGCCCTGCGACATTGTCTTAATTTGCGAAACCAGATCGCACATCTGGTAAAATATCTCGATACATGTCGTTATTTTTATGGATGTGCGGCACGCGTTAATCTGAAGTCTACAGAGGAGCACCATTCTTCTGAATTGGAAGCATCTATCTGTAAGATGATGAAAGAAATTCCCCCACACATTCTGAACGGGGATTCGCACATCTATTCTATGAAAGATCTCATAGCAGTTAAAAGTGGTGAATTGGAAAGGACATTAAAGTTTTTCACCAATGCATGCTCATTGCATGTCATTTCATGTGATTGCTGTAGTGCAAAAGGATTTGTTTGTGAAATATGTGGGAACGCAGAAAATATTATATTCCCTCACCAAACAAAACACAGCATTCAGTGTGACACTTGCATGTCTTGCTTTCATAAAAAATGCTTTTCAATTGCCAAGGGATGTCCGAAATGTTTGCGACGAGCCAAATGGAGAAAATTGCAAGACACTGAATTAACCCAAGCATCAAGCTCTTCAGAATAAATTTTATCGCATTTTAATGAGGCAAATGCTATATTTACTATTGATCCATCCCAGGACTTTAATGGCAAATATCAGATTTCATTGTGTACAAATAATTCTTTATTATCAGTTTTTCAACAACTAAGATGTCAAAACAGTGCAATAGACTTATTATTATTATTATCATCATTATTATATTAGTGCAATTCAAGGCATTTTGCCAACAAAACTGTTTTCTGTACTGTTGCTATTACATATATAACATATAATTACACCATACGTACACATGCTAATTTGCCAAGTATGCGCAGATCAAGAAAGATCATCCTGAATAACATAGTAAATAGTCAAACATTTTATTGATGGTTTAATTTGATTTTCACAAGCATGTTAGTCTGTGTCATTTATTGACTTGTGTTGACACATATAATTTTTTATTTATGATTCTATACTTGTCCTTCTTCAACTTATTAGTACCTATGTGTTTGTTGCAGAGCACAGAAAGAAATTGAACTTGGTTATAGAAATATGTTTATCCTAAAGATCAGTTTTAGAATTAGTTGAAATTTTATATATATTCATTCCCTAAAGCTATACCTATATGTAAAATTACGTAAGTGATAGACTTTTCTCGCAGTATATATACCCAGGGGCATGTCTACAGGGGGTCCCGAGGCAGTGTCCCTCAAAATGTTGTAGTGGCAGTAGATATAAGTCCGTTGCTTAGTTTGATGATTTGATTAATGATACAATCATTTCACTCTTACTTGACCCTATTAATTTATTCATTCTCATGTATAACAACATTTCTAAATTGTTTATCCCCCCTCTAACTATTTTTGAAATGAGGTATGGGGGGCGTCATCATCAGAAACCAGCCCCAATCAACAGAAAAGTTAAGCTTTGGTTACTGAAAATTCAATGGACATATTCTCAAGAACAAGGACAATGTGTTAAATAAGCTGCTGAGCATGGTGGACGAACTGAAATACTATGTTTCTGTGATTTAATCATGTATTCAATTATAATTTAGAGATAATTAATGTTGGCGAGATTGCCAAACGATGTTGTATCACATTTTAGAATTTGGAAGCCTACCTTATTCCAATATGGGCGATGTCTGGTTAGCATTTATGAAGTTTTGCTCAGAAGTGTAGGTTACTCAATACGATTTCTAGTGTTTTGTGGCATACAATATTGATTATTTACGTTTCAACTTCACATTTGACAATATTTCTGATTTATCACTGTTGCATATATGTTTTATCATTTTTAATACACGTATATGCTCAAATCGTTAGCTTGTTTCAAATTGTAATTCCTTTTTTTAAATCGCAAGAAATAATTCTACAACGAGATACAAACATGCTAGACAGTAACGATGGCACGGAATTTTCAGTGAATGAGCCACATTGACACATAATTCCATCATGATAAAAAATATGTAGGTCAGATATCACCAATACCTGCAATGTAAAACTTGGTGTTGCAATTTATCTGCGAGTCTTACAATACTGGTTTATTATTTTGTAGATTTGCACTTTATACATGCAGTACTTGTATCAGGACTGGGGTAATTTGAGGAAATTCATAATATGTAAACACAAGCTTAGGGAACAGTTCTATGGTATCGTTATGTCATAGCACTGCTTCCAGTGTTCCCACGCCAGTATATATGACTGTTATTTTTTTTCACTTATTATTATATTGAATCAAGGCCGGCCTTCTAACAGTTTTTTTTTTATCTTCAAAATAGTAGTACAATTTTTTACAACAATTCGTACCTGGGTGAAAATACATAAAGGAGAAGGCAGAGCTTGCTAAACAAGGAGATACTCGGCATAATATTTATGATAGCAGCATAGTGCAAACTAGTGGTTCTCAAACTTTTTGAAAACTTGTGCATAACGGTCCCCTTTCAATTTTTTTGATGACTCGCGGTCCACTAAAGAAATGAAAGCAAATAGCAACGCGATATTTCAAGAATTTGTCTATTGAATGACATAACAGTTCAAAAAGATGGGTGCGCCTGCTTGGCTCCCACTGGTTCTTCTACCTTGGTTTATGTTTTGGGTAATGCGACTCTCATATCGTGTCTTACATCCATTCGGTTTCAACATTTTGTTTTAATAGCGAGTAACGTAGAAAAAGCTGCCTCACATTCGTAAGTTGTTTCATGGTTGGGAGCATTGTTAAATTAACCATACGCTCTGATTTGCGGTACTTGCCACGTCCACCAACGTTTTTTACGTAATATTGTCTTCGTTAGACGGTGTTGTGCTTTGGAGAAACACTGTAAAAGCATGACATCAAAATTTTACTTCAGATCAAAGTGCTTTTGTGCCGAGGTTTAAGTTGTCTCACAGCCCCCCTAAAATCGCCTCGCGGACCCCAGTTTGAGAACCAATGGTGTAAACAAATAGCATTCTGATTGCATCTGAATTACAATAAATTTGAATGCCTACAAGAATATGCTTGAAAAGGAAAAAATTAACCACGAATAAATTGAAATAATTTCGATAAAAATAAGTACTATATGCTTCCACCTTTCCGTTATGACACCTGCTAGAAATAACCCGAAATGTTGAACCCGCGGATATACACATGAGTTCAAATGTACGTGGGTTCAAATGTAATCTTGTACTGGTTGTCTTATACTTTCCAGTCTGTCTCACACTATCCTACTTGTCTCAAATTTGTCCTGCGTATACCACACTTGTACTAATTGTTTCACAGTTGTCATGCTCGTCCCCAGCTTGTACTGCTTGCGTCAGAATTTTTCTGTTTGTCTTTTCTTGCGTGAGAATTTTTATGTTTTTCTCACAGCTGTCCTGCATTTCTCACATTTGCCCCGCTTGACAAATTCAACCTACATGTCTCAAACTTGTTTGCTTTTCCCACACTTGATCTGTTTGTATAAGAATTATCCTGCTTGGGTCACACTTGTCCCGCTTGTCTCAGACCCTTGTGTCACGGTTGTTCTGCTTGAACAAAACTTGTTATTTTTGTTCAACAATTGTCCTGTTCATTTCACAATGGTTCTTCTTAATTCCAACTTGTCTTACTCTCAGTTGTCCCGCATTTTTTCTTCGTCCTGCTTGTCTCACACTTGCCCCCTTGTGTCACGGTTGTTCTGCTTGAACAAAACTTGTTATTTTTGTCCAATAATTGTCCTGTTCATTTCACAATGGTTCTTCTTAATTCCAACTTGTCTTACTCTCAGTTGTCCCGCATTTTTTCTTTTTATCTCATGCATGTCCCCATCACACTTGTCTCTTTTGCCTCACACTTGTCCAGCTTGTTTCACCCTGGCCCTTCTTGACTCACACTTGTCCTACTCATTTCACAATGGTACTCTTAATTCCAACTTGTCTCCCTCTCAGTTGGCCCGCATTTCTTCTTTTTATCCCATGCATGTCCATCATGAATCACACTTGTCTCGTTTGCCTCACACTTGTTCAGCTTGTCCTGCTTATCTCCCACTGGGTATGATTGCCCCACACTTGTTTTGCTTGTCTCACACTTGTTTTGCTCGTCGCAGCCATTTACTAATTGTTTAACACTATTTCTACTTGTCATAAACTTACCCTGCTTGTCTCTCTCTCAATTGTGCCCACACTTATGTTGTTTTCTCACAAATGTTCAGCTGGATTCAAACTTGTCTACTTGTGGCACACTTGTCCCGCATATATTATGTTTGTCCCATGCATGTCCATTATATGATATCTCAAATTCGTCTTGTTTGTCCCACACTTTTACCACTTGTCTAACACTTGTCCCATACAAGCTCAAGACGTTTCCTGCTTGTCTCAGATTTGCCAAATTGTGTCAAACTTGCTTTGCTTGAACAAAACTAGTCATGTTTGACTCAGACTTGTCCTGTTTTTCATATACTTGTACTGCTATCCTCATATTTGATACTTGTCCCACACTTACCCCGTTTGTATCACAATTTGCCTTCTTTTTTTCGACTTGCCCAACGTGTCTCACACTTGTCTTACTTGCCTCACACTACCCCGGCATGTACCAAACTTGTCTTCTATCACTTTTCCTGTTTGTTCAACACTTGTCCCACTTATCTAACACTTTTCCTCCTTGTCTCACACTATCCTACTTGTCTCCATTTGTCCTGCATATACCACACTTGTTTTGATTGACTTACACTTCTACTGTTTGTCTTAGACTTTTCTCACAATTGTCATCCTCGTCTTACACTTGTACTGCTTGCTTCAGAATTTTCCTATTTGTCCCGTTTTTTTTTTGCTTGTCTCAAAATTTTCCTGCTTGTCCCACCTTTGTCCTGCTTGTCTTGCATTAATTCAACTTGATTCCAACTTGTCCTGTTTGTGTTGAATTGTTCCTGCCCTTCACTCATTCGTACTACATATCTCGGACTTGTCCTGCTTATTTTACACTTGCCCTTCCTGCATAATTTCGCCTGTTTGTCTCAAACTTGTCTGCTTTTTCCACACTTGAGCTGCTTGTATAAGAATTGTCCTGCTTGTATAAGAATTGTCCTGCTTGTCTCACACTTGTCCCGTTTGCCTTAGACTGTTTTGATCCCCTCACAGATTTCTTACTTGTTTAATACTATTTCTACTTGTCCCAAACTTGCCATGCTTGTCTCTCAATTGTCCTTCTTGTCTCATACTGGTCTCACATTTGTTCAACTTTCCTCACACTAGTGCCTGACCCACATTTGTCCTACTTGTCTCACACTTTTCCTGTTTGTCCTACACTTTTACTGGTAGTCCCAAACTTTTCTGTTTGGCTGGAAATCGTGCTGTTTGACTCAGACTTGTCCTATATTTCATATACTTTACTGGTATTCTCATGTTCGCCTTACTTTTTGCACACTTACCCCGTAACCTATCACAATTTTCATTCTTGTCTCCGACTTTCCTAAAGTGTCCCATACTTTTATTGGTAGTCCCAAACTTTTCCTGTTTGGCTGAAAATCGTGGTGTTTGACTCAGACTTGTCCTATTTTTCATATACTTTACTGGTATTCTCATGTTCGCCTTACTTTTTGCACATTTACCCCGTAACCTATCACAATTTTCATTCTTGTCTCCGACTTTCCTAAAGTGTCCCATACTTTTATTGGTAGTCCCAAACTTTTCCTGTTTGGCTGAAAATCGTGGTGTTTGACTCAGACTTGTCCTCTTTTTCATATACTTTCCTGCTATTCTCATATTTGCCTTACTTTTTGCACACTTACCCCGAACCTATCACAATTTTCATTCTTGTCTCCGACTTTCCTATAGTGTCCCATACTTTTACTGTTTGGCTCAAACTTGTGGTGTTTGACTCAGACTTGTCCTCTTTTTCATATACTTTACTGCTATTCTCATATTTGCCTTACTTTTTTCACACTTAACCCGTACCTATCACAATTTTCATTCTTGTCCCCGACTTTCCTGAAGTGTGCCATACTTTTACTGGTAGTCCCAAACTTTTCCTGTTTGGCTCACACTTGTGGTGTTTGACTCAGACTTGTCCTCTTTTTCATATACTTTACTGCTATTCTCATATTTGCCTTACTTTTTCCACACTTAACCCGTACCTAACACAATTTTCATTCTTGTCTCCGACTTTCCTAAAGTGTCCCATATTTTTACTGGTAGTCCCAAACTTTTCCGGTTTGGCTGAAAATCGTGGTGTTTGACTCTATCACCATTTTCATTCTTGTCTCCGACTTTCCTAAAGTGTCCCATACTTTTATTGGTAGTCCCAAACTTTTCCTGTTTGGCTGAAAATCGTGGTGTTTGACTCAGACTTGTCCTCCTTTTCATATACTTTCCTGCTATTCTCATATTTGCCTTACTTTTTGCACACTTACCCCGAACCTATCACAATTTTCATTCTTGTCTCCGACTTTCCTATAGTGTCCCATACTTTTCCTGTTTGGCTCAAACTTGCGGTGTTTGACTCAGACTTGTCCTCTTTTTTATATACTTTACTGCTATTCTCATATTTTCCTTACTTTTTCCACACTTAACCCGTACCTATCACAATTTTCATTCTTGTCTCCGACTTTCCTATAGTGTCCCATACTTTTACTGTTTAGCTCAAACTTGTGGTGTTTGACTCAGACTTGTCCTCTTTTTTATATACTTTACTGATATTCTCATATTTGCCTTACTTTTTTCACACTTAACCCGTACCTATCACAATTTTCATTCTTGTCTCCGACTTTCCTGAAGTGTGCCATACTTTTACTGGTAATCCCAAACTTTTCCTGTTTGGCTCAAACTTGTGGTGTTTGACTCAGACTTGTCCTCTTTTTCATATACTTTACTGCTATTCTCATATTTGCCTTACTTTTTCCACACTTAACCCGTACCTATCACAATTTTCATTCTTGTCTCCGACTTTCCTAAAGTGTCCCATACTTTTACTGGTAGTCCCAAACTTTTCCGGTTTGGCTGAAAATCGTGGTGTTTGACTCTATCACAATTTTCATTCTTGTCTCCGACTTTCCTAAAGTGTCCCATACTTTTATTGGTAGTCCCAAACTTTTCCTGTTTGGCTGAAAATCGTGGTGTTTGACTCAGACTTGTCCTCTTTTTCATATACTTTCCTGCTATTCTCATATTTGCCTTACTTTTTGCACACTTACCCCGAACCTATCACAATTTTCA